TCTTGGTGTATTATTAGTATTAGTAATAACATTATTATTTTCCCTTCGTTTTCTGTCCTATTAAACTGTCTTTATCTTAACCTATGAATCTTACTTTTTTTTTCCCCGATTCTCTCCCCCATCCCACTGGCTGGGGCGGGGGGGAGTGAGCAAACGGCTGTGTGGTGCTTAGCTGCCTGCCAGGTTAAACCACGACAGACATAATGCCATCATTTTACTTTGTTTTAAAGCCAGAAGGAATCATAAATTCATCTGATCTGACCTGTTTATCACAACTACTACACTTCATCCACGTAACCATTCTGTCCAGCACATGAACTTCAGTCAGCCTAAAGCACTGAAGTCCTTCAGAGATTGACCTATTGTATGCGTGCCACAGGCAGAGCCCAACCATACGCTGTCAAAGCCAAGACTACCGACATGGCAGACGACTGATTAGGTGGTAGTTGCCCGGATTATTTCAGCAGAAATCCATTCCTCACGCTTCTCTGGAAGGTGAAGAATCTTACAGTCCTGGCCATTGGTTCCCAGCTCTGGCAACCAGGATGAATCCCAACATGTGAGCAAGACACATGAACCAATTATCTAGAAATAGGATTCTCTGCTATATCAAAACAACCAGCCCATTACAAAGAAGCCAGCCTCTGGTGATGGCCAATCTCTGACAATCCAAAGAAAAAAAGAACAAAAAAAGACCTAAAAACAACCACTGGGAGGATAGGGAGAAAACCTCATTCCCGACCCCTACGAGCAAACCACAAAGGCCCTGAACGTGGTTTGAAGATGGCAATTGTCTTAATGCAGAGCTGTGAGTATTTCAAGGATGGTGCAGACAAATTGCTCTGAACACAACTGTAAAGGAAGGAGTTGAAAAGGGAGGCTCATAAATCAACAAATCCCAGTATAGGCCACCACACTTGACGCACAGACATAGAATTTCTTCTCAGGGCTTAAATCAAGCGCCTCATAAAATGATAAATGATCTCATCTTAAAGACTCGAAAGGATGGTGATGGAAAAAGACTCCAAAATTTAATTACACTGCGAGCTGTGAAACTATTTTATTTCATGGTGGAACTTTTCAAACTTCAGCTTCCAGCTACTGGAACTTGTGGCTTACCAGTGGCTGGGTTGTCAACCTCACTGTGAGATATCTGCTCCTCACATAAGTACCCGTAAAGATGACTCCATCATAGTTTTATGTCTCTGCAACTGGTTGAATGTGTTTATTCACAGCACCAGGCCAGTTTTCTAGGCTCTATATCCTTTTTCTGCCCCTCCTTTGAATCCCCAGCAATATCTCCGTATAATTCCTGGTACGTCAACACAGAAATTGCACTAGATGTTCTGAGATTTTGCTGACTCTGCATGCAGAAAATAGCTTTCATACTCCTGATTAAGGCTTCCCTTTTCATATAGGCAGGAGTTGCAATAGCCATTTTTGTCTGTGCACTGTGCCCTGGGCTCACTGGAAGACCCTTATCCGCGATAGCCCCTGGATCCCTCTCAGAGTTACTGTTTTCCCAGGATGGTATCACATTTTGAAGGTATCATCTGCACTTTTTGTTCCCAGATGTAGTAACAAGTGCCATAATTATGATAGCTGTTAAAATATTGAAATGAGTTACTGTGTGTAATATTTCTGGGAAATGGTAGGAAGGATGACGTTTATTGAAACTATATAAACATGTAAAATGTTTTCTCAACACAGTTTCCCATTTATGTTTGCACAGATGTGTGTAATGTCGTCACGAAGCCTCTTCCAAGAAAGATAAATTAAATCAAAAGGTTCGAAGAAGGCAAATAGCTAGAATGCTCTGCTGGTGTCTCTACACACCATCTCTTACCTCTTTTTGTTCCCTTTTTCTAATCAGAAAAGATAGTCGCTGCCATTGAAAAATATAAAAAACAAATTTTTTTACGAAGGACAAAGGTCCTTGGCACAAATAAAATGACCAGCTCTGAAGCTGCGAAGAAATATGCTTTAATTTAAGAGACAAAAGATAGCATTACAGAAGAAATTGTCATAATCAAAGTTGGAAAAAAAATTTCTATTGTCTACTGTGCCTCTCTGTGGGAATTTTCCCAGCACAGACAGCTGTAAAGGAGGGGCGGTATTGTGAATTTCTGTACTCTCATTCTCTCTCTCCCTCTCTTTCTCTGTCAATAAACGTCTGCAATCATATTCTTGAGCTCCAGTGTGATTTCAAGGTTCATCTCTTCCATGCAGCTCAAACACTAATTATCCCAGCTGTAATTAGTAAGATAATTAAATACTGGCTCACTCATCACTCTACCTTGTGTCGGGTCATGATTCTCCCAGAAGACCTTGAGCAGTTTCTCAAAGCTGATGTTTTCTGGCTGATATACTACTCGTACAGTCTCTGTGTGGCCAGTTTTACCTTAAAAGACAAAATAAAATCAGATGTTATTAATGAGAATTAGCTAGTGCGTATCTAGTTTTTTATATCTGAGATTCAAAGCACAATCCTTTGTATTCCTTTCTTTTTTTTCCTAAAGGTGTTTTGATTTACCATCATTTATACTTAAGCCTTTTTATACAGTATTTTATATACATGCCAACTCTAAGATGTCTGCTAGTTTGGACAAGACCATCATGAAATAAAATATCCAGAGAGGGAACAAGGTAAGACAGTGATGTTACGACAGTAGTTTGTCAGCTTACAGGAAAAAAAAAAAGAATAGTTCTTAAATATTTGTAACTGACCACTAGTAAAATATTTTAAAATACTCTAAATACAACATTAAAATATGAAAACTTGTATTTCTAAGTTGTCTTGACAATATAAAACTGGGCTTTATTTCCATGAGGTAAGATATGGATAAAAGAATTGATTGTAAAAACAAATTTTGAGAGTGTGTTTACACAAGATCACACAAATAATTTCAAACTATTTCACATCATCCAAGCCACTGATGCCAACAGGCTTCAAAAGGAGTCAAAGAGAGCCTGACTGAACTTTATGACAGCAGATGAAGTTCAAGGAAGATTAGCAGGTGTTACAGGTTAAAACATATTATTCCTATTTTTCAGTTACATTATGGGCACGATTTTTTCGTTCCTTATGGTCTCATCACTCACAATATTATTGAAAGACCCAGCTTCACAAAATGTGAAGGATCTGGCCACATAATTCACTTCAGTTGTAACTAATAGTGAGACTGATGAGTGCTCAGACATCTCAGGGTGAAAGTCCATTGCACTGAGTGCTACACAAGCATTTTATCTTTTATATTTTATAAATATTATATAGTATATATCTTACTATTTATAAATGTAGGCATATTTGTTCTCATAATATACGCATGAATGCGGAAAAAAACTTATCTTATTCTTCAGTTAAATCATAATAAGTAAATACTAAACAAAAGTAAACTGGACAGCCAGATCTGCCTTTTGGTGAGGACGTAATAAGCTCCTTGATCACACTAGGCCAGGTTTTTATTTCATTGATACCAGCATAAACTTCAGATTTACTCAACTGACTTCAATAGAATTGTTGAATTTCATGCAGTGCAACAACCAGCTGAATCCGGCCCAGCGATGGGCGCTGAATTCACTGTCACCAAACAAGAAAAATCAGTCTATGAGTAACTGAGGAGTGTTCAGTAGAAACACCAATTCAGTACCACGAGAAATCTTAATTAAAAAAAAAAAAAAAAGTAGAAAGAAATAAAAAGGATGCTAGGATATATTAGAGAGACATAACAGGGAAAAGTGTGGCAGCATTATATCAGTTAATGGGGCACCAGAAATGAAGAAAACCTAAATGAGGCACAGAGGGGTGGGCTAGCTATTAAAAGGGATTTAAAAGACTGGGATTAAATTTAGCCTAGAATGCAGAGGAGTAAAAGGGGACACATCTGGGATATCTGTAATGAAAATTTTGATAAAATCAAATTGGTTCCTATCTAGCGTGCTTCACAATACAACAAAGAGAGATTAAAAGACAAAAAATGTGCAAGGTTCACGTAACGTGTAGCTAAAGCCATGTCATCCTGTCCACCAGGATACTGTCCAGGCAAATGATGGCCCAATTCCTCTATCACATGCGCTACTGTCGTGGTATATTGAAGTCCATGGAAGCAACTCATTAGCTGAAGGCAAATTCTGATGGTAGGTTAACAGAAAGGGATCACACATTTAGTAGAATAAAAATACAGGTCACAGATAATTGGCTTAATAATAAAGTGAAAAGGTCTTTCTATATTATGGCAGGAACTGATGGCCATCTGAGGTCAGGGATGGAATTTATTCCAGATTTCACGGTTTAATATGGACTATCAGTGAAAATAATGGGGTTTGCCTTAGCTGAAGCCCAGGTCGGGAATTTTGTCGTTGCTTGAGATAAAGAAGGAGAACAAACGGACAGTGGTTTGTCCAGCTCTCGCAAGCCTGCATCGTATAAATAAAAAGAGATTAAGGAGTGGCTTCTGACTTTAATTCTTTTTTTTTTAAGCCAATGTGAACCTTATGAAAGGTTCTTATCACTCAGGAGCAAATTGCTTGTCTAAGATGACTAGCTTTAGATCACAAGAGAGTTTCTTAAAGAAACAACAGAGGCATTACCTTTCCTCTCAGTTGAAGCAGCAATTACATCTTGTCAACACTGTCTGCTCTAATCCAGAAGTTCAAAGAATCAGCTTTCTTCTTTCCCTCTGAATAAGGAAATAATGGTGCTACTCTGAGAACTATAGCCTGACCTCGAGGAAAAAATCCTCAGATGTGTGGCTAGCAGACTGTTAGAACCTAGAGCATATTTAAAATCAATATTCATCCTCAGAGGAAATGCAAGGAGGTAATGCTGCTGGTCCTATAAGATTCACGTCTAATTTTCCTCAAAGCCTTTCTACAATCTAATCTAGTGGATTTTCTTTCAAAATACGGTGTGGCTATTTCTACTTAGAACAATCTTAGTCATTTGTGGTGAGCAATCCTACTTCCCAACAATTTTAGTGGAATCTACACCAATCAACTGGGTAGACATGAGCAAAGAGACAGGCAAAAGGCTCCGTGTGGGACAGATTAACCACAAGATTTCCTAGAAGAAGCACAGAGAGAAAATGGTATCAGGGGACAGGAGAAGAAGAAGAACAATCTCTCCACAAGCGCAACATGCCTCACAACAAGGAATCAAAAGATACCACGAGGTTACCCTAAGTAGCATGTAGAAACTACAAGCTCATCGGTGCCGAACGTGACTGAGCTGCAGCCAAAGTGGCAAAAGGAAACTTAAATTGGGTTATCCCTGTTGATCTTTTTATTTCACTTTTTGCCTTAGGCTTAAGTTCGACTATGGAAACAGAATAACCACGTTTCAGTTTGGGTTTCGTACATTCATACGCCAAAAGAACAGAGCAAGCATCAAACCAGCTAACCACTCTTCTGTATTGTAAAAAAAAAAATCATTGAAATATTTCTAATCAAATCTTTTTCGTAAGCTTTCTTAAAATGGAGAGGCAGTAATCAAAGAGAAACAATGAACCCACTTGTTCTCAAAAAAGCTGCATGTCTTTTAACAAGAAATTTAACAGGCTAACACTGAACAGCTGAAACTATTTAAAATGATCAGTGATAGATGCTATTCTTTCAGTGATATTCAGCCCTTCACCTTAGTGCCTCTTTCAGAATTTCTCATGAAAGGTCCATTTATATTAAGTCGGAGAGTCATGGTGTCCTCGGTTCACCTGTTGCTTTTAGTTAGCTGATCTTTAACATTCCACTGTAAAAGCATGCTTCGCTTTAAGTTCCAAAAGTTTTAACAAGTACGAACATTTCTAGAAGCCTTCTCCCCAAAAAAGCTCAAAGTTTGAACCGTGTTTTTTAAATAATTTATTGAATCACTAAATATAATTTCATTTGCTGTTAACTGTGCAAATAGAAATCCTTTATTTATAGGTGCCATTATCGGATTTCCAGTTATGGTGCTCAGTTCTCCTTCAGCTTTAGAAGGAGCTTAGCCATTGAAGAACCTCGCTGCGGATGATAAGACTTTATTACACCGTGGCAGAGGGGGCTGTGTGCCAACAGCAGATTGTCTGTTTATCCTGTATCCATTTCCCACTTAGAAAGCACAGCCGCTCTCAGAGGATTAGCTACAGTGAGCTCTTTCACGGGGGATTCAAACTCTGGCAAATGTGTTCCTGTAAAGAGCAATAGAGAAAGACATCTGAGTGACACCTCAGCGCTCCTTTTCAATTTTTCTTCCCACTTAGAAAGCACAGCCGCTCTCAGATTAGCTACAACAGTGAGCTCTTTCACGGGGGATTCAAACTCTGGCAAAAATGTTCCTGTAAAGAGCAATAGAGAAAGACATCTGAGTGACACCTCAGCGCTCCTTTTCAATTTTTTTCTTCCTAATAGTGTTTAGATTTTCACCTTCTTAATCATCTCCCAGGTGAGTGCCCAAGCCGACGGATTATAGAAGCGAACTCGCTCTTTTCAACTTGCTGTATCCAGTAAGCATTTAATTATTTCCGGCAAAGCGGAACAACTTCAAAGGGCTGGCTTGAGAGCACCTCACCTGTGAGTACCCAGCCACCCGCCAGCTACCGCGCCGCTACCTGACATGTGGGCTTCATCTCTAGCTAGTCCAGCCCTGGATGAATTAAGTGATAAAATTTTTACTCCTCTGCATTCTAGGCTAAATTTAATTAAATTTTCCCACTGTTTGGAAGAGACTGTAGAGCGTGTCAGGTATACAATGGCACTAACATGTGGCTGCTATTTTTTTACCTTCTTCTTTATATTTCCAATAACTTTAATGACTTTGTTAGCATTGAACTAGGAGATAATGTTTGGTTTATTATCCACCGTGAATTTCTGCCTTACAAAATATAATGCTTTACCTTCTCAGTGTGATCCACGCTCTTTTATACAGTTGTACTAAAACATGTCAATCTTACACAGCAAGAAGCCAATTTATCACTATGGGCCAGCCAACCCCGCAGCTGTTAATCAAAATAAAACTTTCCATGAATTCTAGAAACTTCTGCCTGGAAGGCAAAAACTTCTGCCTGGACCAAAGGAAACCATGCCTCTTCCAGTGCCCGCAGAAAGTAGCACATACAGCAGCTACCATGTAGTGCATACCTCTAAAGAGAGAATTTTCTTAAATTTTATTCATTTGTTTTAGTAGAGGACAGATTAATTACACAGTAAAGGAAAATTTTAAAAGCTAAGAAAATTTGGAAAAAGAACAATGAACTGCTATAAAATGCAGTTTTGGTGACTGTTACAATCACTTAGGTTTTTACCCCGTCAAATGAAAATTAAGAGAATAAAGGTCACAGTGAAAAGTGGGGTACAAAATGCTGTTACTGATAATTTTTTTTCACAGAAATTCAGTCGTATTTTTCAGTAAAACTAGTTGAATGAATT